GGCGAGCTCTACCACTGTCGTCGAGAGGACCTAATTACTCTACACCCGGGGTTTGCTGCTGATGATATTCACAGCGTGAATATTCTTACTACGTTATATTGGCAGTGTCTCGTTTCGCTGGATACGTTTCATGTTACCGTAGAACAGTCTCTAATGTGCTCTGTTTTGCTACTCCAAGTGTATCGTAGGTTAACAGCCACATTGTTACCAGGTAGATTTGAGTATAACATGGCATTTCTTGAGTGCCGCGCAGTTAAAAATGGCTGTTGTGACAATAGGACCTTAGTATCTTTTAAGCTGTACTAGACTAGTAGTGCCAATAGGTAATTATTAGTTAAGTTAAGTCTCAAGTACCGTTATCATTTTCCTATGCCATTAATGGCCTCGCGTTAACCGAGGAGACTAGGCGTAGCCCTGACAGTGGCGACAGTTAAAAAAACGCGAAGGGAGTGCACGCGTGCAACCTGCTGTGTTCCCGGTTAATCGATATCATATTTGCTATTGTTTTGGTAGCAAATCGATCGCAACGCTCTCACGTCCATTAACATTCATCACCATTCATCGCGCGAGTACACTCATTGATGTGAGGTGATGAAGTCGGGAGATGTCTGACGAAGTTGACTTCCCATCGGCTCGATGGTGAGCACCTGGAACTGCTCAACCTCATCTGAGCCATCGACTTGGGAGAGCATCAATTCAAAAGCTACCAATAGCTAATGAGGGTTGTGTGCTCTTCCATTTCCCACACTGCCGACTGTGGAAGAACGGCGGCTCTCTACACTGCCAACTTCTCGGGCTAGTGAGGTGTGGACCAATTACCGATCGGCTGCATGCCCATCCAATCTACGGACTATTCGGAGTCTTCACTGGCTCGCACTCACACGCGATGGGTGAGCGGAAACCTCGGGTGCGCGAAAGAAAAGCTTGGGTACGCGTCAAAAACGAGACGGTGATGCCCATGATATCGTGCGACAACGATTTCCATATCATTATCACGCTCAAAGATGTTCCAACGCATCCTCATTTTCATCCTTACCATCGAGTGGGGTACTGCCGCCTCTTCCCTGGAGGATGACCGCATCCCAGGTTCCGCGGATATCGCTCTGAGGGGTGCGCGGCCACCGACCGATTGTGTGGTGAAAATGATCAAGCCTTATGAATTCACAGTCGAAGCCTTCGTGGACACTGTCGAAGACCCATCACTTGCTGGCAGCACCGTCAGAATCACCCGAGTGAAGTCAACTGAGTTCATTACAAGGTAAGTGCCTCATTTGAGTCGTTAAGTGAGTACCGCTGTAGGGATAATAAAGTGCACAAACTTTCTGGTGATGAAGTGGAGACCTTGATAGATTCCGAGATGCTACGTGCCTTGAACGATCGAGATGTGTCTGAGGACGTGGATGAACAAACCCTCTGCAAAGCACAGTTGAAGGCGTTCGCTGACCATATGTACATAACTTCTGAGAAATACCAACAAGATGCGAGAAAACTCGGCATCGACCCGCAAAGCGAATCTTTCATCGCCTGGAGTATTCTCAACCTTCGAAAGGAGAATCTTTTCGAGCGACGAATCGGCGAGCCTGATATTGGCGAGGTGGTTTACCATACTTCATGCTAGTCCATATTCAACGCTCTCATTTTGATTAGATATGTGAAATCGATGCGTCGATTGGATTCAGATTCAAGACTAAGACACCTCATGAGACTCAATACGAAGATATATCAATAACAGCCACCCATGACAGGGACAACATCATGACCATCGACTCCTTCGTTGTGGGGTTCAAACAGTAAGACAATTCCGGGGATTCCGATAGCTTATCCCCATCGGAGTTTTTGTCTGTGTGAATAAACCCCCATATTTTTCAGTAAGAAGAATATTTCCATTGAAGAACTCGATAGACTAAATACACAGCTGAGGAACATGCCTCATTACATTACAACAGAGAATACACCTCCAGAGGAGATTCCAAGAGACCGCTGCAAAGCCTATTTCTTCTACATAGGTTGGCAACTCGACCAGTTCATATCGACTCAGTCGGTCGATTTCATAATCATCCAAGGACGTAGCTACGGTGACTCTGAGCTTGGTCTACCGTTCGTGCGCTGGAGAAGGTTCGATCGAAGGCGTGAGAAGTTGAGGAAGAAAGACATCAAGAAACATACGAAGAAGAAATGCTCGATGAAAGACAGGACATGTGTGTTGATGTAGATCCTCATGATGGAAAAAGTTGTTTGATGTTGATGTGTTTACCTTTACCAAGTCTTTTTGTTGTTGGGAGTTCTCTTGGGATTGTATCTCGACGACGATGTGTCACTCACGGGTTTCTAATCGTATGCTAGACTTTCTATTTCACCTTCTTGTGGGTTGTAAGATGATGATAAGTAGTTCGGTTTGAACGAGACAACTTGCGAGTTCTCCCGAAATGGAGTTGTATCACAAGTATCGTGCTTTCATCACATGATCGATAATCCGTGTTAATGTATCTTCGCTGAAAGCGTGCATGCGAGGACAGGAACACTGAGCGAATTCACTCACGGTGAGGCTCATGGGGATAACACCGGCCAGTGCTCGTTCAGCTGCACCATTCTGAAAGACGCTATAGCGATTAACCATCAGATGTTTAATATGTCTCCATCTTCGCATGCCTTCTTGTGAAGGTTACACAGGTGAAGCAACTTTCTCCGTCACTACGAAGTCTACGCATGGTACCCACCACATCACAAATGTTGTCTATGGCCTCGACAGCAGCAACAGCAGCACTTGTTCAACTACTTTCAATGGTGGCAATATCTAAATTCTGTAGAAATATTCGAAATTTCTTTTAGGTTTTTGGACATTTCTACTCGAATTCGTATGTGAACTCATGGACTCAGATTCGTGGGCAAATTTCTGAGCTCAGCTGAAGGAAGCGAACATATAATCTTCCAACACTGCTGTTGGTAATGATTGTGTCAGGAGACATCCTCCCTGTTAGAGCCAGTGTTGCAGGGTTATATGTGCTCGCTTTCCTCAGGTGAGCTCAGGAGTTTCCTCATCAATTGAAGGTGTTTATATATGAAATCGCCCAGGAATGTTCAGGAATTTCTTCGAGGTCTGCTCAGGATTCCCATATGTATGTAGTTGACCGTGTGCATAATTTATCACATTGGTCAATGCCATTGGACGACCCCATGATGGTTAGTTGCTCTGTAGCTGACAACGCGACCAGACTGTGAAATTTGAAAGTCATTCGTGAACCTTCCCCACTCAAAGCAACATTGGAATTGTTTTAGTGAAACGAAGCCGAAGAATAACAACTCTTATAAATATATGTTGTGATGATCCTCGTCTTCAGAGCAGTTTTAGATGATATCGAACTGGAGTATGTCGAACAGAGAGTTTGCGAGTGACGATCTAAGCAACATAATGCTCAATCTCGAATCGTACAGGAAACTCTGAAGTAGTTTCTAATCGTCTCTGCGCTTCAAGTTATGAGTAGATATGAAAATACAAGCAAACAAATAATACTATGTTGGTTTAATGTAGTATCCAAACCACGAAGCTGCGACCACCGTACAGTGAATAGTGTCCGATTTGGGGACGGTCTTCCTCGACTTCCATAACTTACAAAATCATGGACAGAGAGGACACAACTGTGGCGGCTCATACGTAACAATAATGATGAGTGAGATAGTATGCCGAATAATGTCGGACCATGACTTTAGATGGTGTAGACTGAGCATGCTCGTGCTGCTCGTCCATTCCAGTGTAAGAACGCTCGCAGACTTTATAATGCATCTAACCGATGCTGACAGGTTAGTCGTGCGAGCTTCACAAAACGCACTGGATCGTTCACTCCGTTGGTGGCGAGAAAGTCGGCGGGACAAAATGACTTGTCTTGCGATGGAGAACGATCCAATATATTATCGATTACAGTTGGAGTATAAACATTCATAGCTGAACCTTCAGAAGTGTTGAAAATCTCAGTGATCCCCTCAAGCATTTCCCTGGCCGCCCTCAGCTCAGCCTCACACCGGGATTGGAATTCGTGATTAGTGCACTTTTCCCAAGCCACTCGAATCGCTTCCCCTCGAACCTCGTCCGTCGCGTCGATGTAGTAAGAGGCGCGACTCAAGAGCTCCGAATGAGCTGCACAACTACACGCCGAGGCAAGACCAAGATCAATGAGCTTGACGATAGGGCTTGTTGTTGAGGTAGGACTGCATGAGCAGACTACGTTCTCTGGTCTGATGTCGTTATGAAGGATACCGCAATGATGAAGGACCGTCAGAGTAGTCGAAAGAGACTGACCGATCCGGCTCCAGTTCAGCGGCTCTCGCTGGATTTCGTTGCCGGAAGCAACGATTTGCTGAAGGTCATATCCCTCGTGTTGACATACCATGTAAAATGAATCGACATCAGAATAAGCATCAAGAACAGTCGCCACGCCGCCCCCACAAGACTTGATATCATCCAAACCGAGACATCTACATTTCTGAAGTAACTGAGCTTCATTATCGCATTTCGGAGTCGGACTGAATCTGCCCTCATACGGGGGTTTCGTCACATTCTTCACAACCACAGTTTCACCAGAGCGTCGACATCGAGCTGTGTAAACCGTACCAAACCCGCCCACTGCGATTCGATCGCCGCACCGCATGTCATAGTCTCTCTGCAAGGACGATAGTGCGCTACCCGGTGTGCTCATAGCCGGAGTAGTAGTGGTAGAGGACAGAGCACTCGAGGGGGACAAAGAGCTCATATCGGCATCAGCAGCAAAGGTCACGGCGAAAGCTTCCGGAGGTAGACTCAACGAGTGTGGCGACGACTCTGTCGAGGACTCTGAGCTACTATTATGATCAGTCATAATTTGACGGTAGAAAAACTTCAACAAACATCATTTCCCATTTAACATTCCTGATGTACTTATATACACACTGATATACGATATTTGATCGCTAGCTAACTCTGCCGTGTATTCATACATAGTTTACATATCACATATAGTAAGCCCGATAGTTATAACGAGGGCAACCTCGAAATTCGCGCTAGTTTGAAGCATAGCACACCTCCTTGATATAAACCTCTTAAACTCAATAAGGAACATTCATAGAGAATGATACTGTTATGATGCCTCCAACAAGATGAAGCTCTTTCTACTGCAATTGTCGGTATTAAGCCGAGGGGGCAAAGTGTGTGATGTATAAAAGGTTTACAAGTCGTCATCATCGTCATCGATTGCCTGATCCTGAGCAGCCTGGAGCTCTCTCTCGTGCTGGGCCACAAGTTCGGGATTGATCTGGAACTCGGGAGCCTTGGCGAACTCACCCTGAAAAGAATCAACAATGGCGACCCCGGGGTTCGAACCCACAACCATAAGCAAGAAGGACGAAAATGATACCACTCGAGCACATCTTACCTGGAAAACAAGTTGAGGCTGGTTGGTTAGCCTCCTAGCGAGCCAGAGGAAAGGTTTCTCGAAATTGTAGTTGGACCGCGCAGAGAGATCGTAGTATTGAAGATTGCGCTTACGATGGAACTGAATGTTGCGTGCCTTTACCTGTTAAAACATGATAGCGTAACAGACTTCATGCAACTACGGTACCTGTCTGTCCTTAACGTCAACCTTGTTACCAACGAGGACGATCGGGATGTTTTCGCACACTCTAACAATATCTCTGTGCCAGTTAGGGACGTTCTTGTACGTAATACGAGATGTAACGTCGAACATAATAATCGCACATTGACCCTGAATAGAAGAACACGCTCATTTCGACAGACCTGCATAGTTATGGTTACTTGAATATAGTAGCCATCACGAAGACCACCAAACTTCTCCTGACCAGCAGTGTCCCACACGTTGAAGATTATCTCACCACAGTTAGTCATGAACTTCAGAGGATGAACCTAGGGTAGGTAAGATACAATTCATTGAAGAAGCAATTGAGTGTTTACCTCAACTCCGAGTGTTGGGATATACTTCTTTTCGAACTCTCCCGTAAGATGCCGTTTCACCAGAGTAGTCTTTCCGACACCTCCATCACCAACCAGGAGCAATTTGAACTCGGGGACACCACTTTGTTGAGCCATGAGGTTTAGCAACGTACTGGGAACAACGATTATGCGCTAGACGTTTTAAGGTGGGATATCTCATAGCGGTAGAGGCGAGCGAGATCGACGTTTTTACCCACTTAGAAGCAAACGATTATGCCGGACTATTTTCCCCGACTACGTTGTAACTCGGATCTGTGTTCAAAAGTAGCAGCAGACGCCCATGGGTCCATTCTTATGGTGGCTACAAGCTCATCTCGAGCCCCGGGGCCTTCAAAAAAATTGGTTTCGCTCCGTAGTAGAGAATCCTTACGTTGTCGGTTTCGCATACGCAGTGCCTTCTAGCAAGAACACAGGATTCATATAACCTTACCCCGTAGTACTGGCAACTCAGAGCAATTATTCTCGGAAGTGGTGAGCCCGCATTTGTCATGCCCGCAAACGCTAATCTGGATCGCTCATTGGACTCAGCTGTACTTGCATGTTAACTGTGGCACTCCCAGGAGCGGCCTTATAACGCCATGGGGATTTGGTGTAGCGGATGGCTTGTTGTTTATCTTGGTCGTTATCCAGTATCGAACCCTGCATATGTCAATTCATTTTATTACAGGTAGTCCATCGCATGGTTGTTATCACTGGAAGGAATAAGCTGGGAGCTTTCGGCAATCTAATGACCAACACTAAGGTTATGATACTCCGGGAAGTTAGCGCTCCCTCTTCTATCACAAATCGGTATAAATAGACCTCTGATGTCAACTGTTGTTAAATGTATTGAATTGTGTATCTGATCGTTTTGATCGATATTGAACTGATTCCAAAATTGTTTAACGGCGTAACATGAGTCGAAAGTCGAACGACCAGACCTGCCAAAGGAAAATCAATCGTTGAGTAATTTGCTCGCCATGGATATTGTCGAATATTTCCCGAATTTCCATGTTGTTATCAACCCTTGTGGAAGAAATTAGATTTCGTCCCAACGCTTTGAGTTTCCAAGTTACGGAATTGGATATCGTTTTCATTATTATTCTGGTGAACTTCTACAGGTAACGTAGAATGTATGATGGAGTTTCACCCGTGGTATGGAGAACACTAGTGGAAAAAAGTATTTCACGCCTACTGCGCAGCGCGGATATCGCGTTTTTCAGCGAGTAATACGCCACTTCACGTAAAACGGGTAGTTGTGAAGCTCCAATTCACTGAATTGATTCCCGAATTTATTACCCCGGCTGAATTGAATTCAGCCGGGGTAATAAATTCGGGTTTAACCTAACACATGTACCGCTATATGCAATATCGTGTGTGCTTTTCTCACGAAGTCATCATAAGAATTTGGATGCCCAGAGTGAACGGTCGGAAAAAGAGAAACAACAACGAAAAGGGAAAAAGGATCAGTGACTAGCCAACACAGGACATTCGCGTTAGACTTCATATTCCACCGAAATATTGAAATTCTAGTTATGACCGATACAAATAGCAGCATGCTGATCTAGTCCGCCCTTATGCTTCCTGCGATAAGTACTCTAGGCTCCCATAGTTGATTATGGGCACTGGTCTTTCGTCCTCCCCACCGTTTCCCCGGCGGAGAAGTACTGTAGTCTATCCAATCCTAGATTTGGCGTAGAACATTTTGATATGTTACGGTGATCGATACTGAATTCCGCATGGGTATTCGTTCGCGATCGTTGAAGTTTAACTAGTATGTTGTTAGGAAACCAGAAGGCTTGGGGGTATTCACCATTGGGTAATCCAAGGCAATGGTTACAAGAATCCAGAGATTCTATCTACGATTATACTCATGGAATCATCAACGACTGTGAAGAGTTGAGGGAGCGGTATGGTAGAATTTAGAGCGGAGACGAAGGCCAGTATTGTTGAGGAATAGTGATGATTGCCGCTGCATGTTAACGATACTGTTTCCACGGGGTGTAGACTTTCCCGGAGACACCTGCACACTATCCATGATCCTTAGCCTGACGTTTAGCTAGCTACTTAGTCTTACTATATTCTGCTGTCTTTATCTACTAGACAAAACTATACTGTTGTGTTTATCATGGCCAATCAGGGGTCTCAGGTTGATAGTTTTCGGGAGGGGCGCTTTTGGGATTGCAATGGACTTGCTATTATGGGGAAATCACTGCGGTTAATGATTCCTATTCTCATCAAGTGAGTTGTAAGCTACAGACATCGAGCGCAGAAGCCACAACTTTACAATGAAGTCAAGACTGGTTTCGAGTGGAATGAATACAACCAGATACACTACGGCAAGAAGACGCCTAAGGCGTCTTCTATGGTGACACAGTGCTCATTACTCGTAAATGTCTTGACCTCGTCTTGATCATAGTGGAAACGAGACCACGAGTGAACAAAGTTGATCAACGTCCGTTGCGAACGATGTTATAATATACGTCTGGTTTCCTCAACTGGGAAAATTCCAGAGCTACATTATGGGAATATACACAGGATTTGGGGTAGAAGTGTCCCGACATCACTGAATTGTCTGAGATTTCCTTGGAAATCCTCTTATTATCATCGACACGTGTACACTGCGGAACGTGATTAAGAGGACTGCTATGATCATGGTGGTGTGACACGTTATGGTGACACAGTGCTCATTACTTTCAAATGTCTTGCTGTTCAATCTTGGTCATAGTTCCAACGAGACTGATGACAGTAGGACTGATTGACACCCGTGTGCCGTGTCCCTCCTCCTTGGCATTCCATCAAATTCAGTTTCCCCATTGTTAAACCATCATCTTATGGTTATGGAGGAGCTGACATCAAAAGATCAGGCCGAGGTTGATGACATACCACACAGTGAACTCCCTACGGTTGTTGCCCAGCATGAGAAGCTCAGCATTCTGACGTGGCTTCGCATTTGCCTTGTTGGGCTCGCAATTTTCGGCACTTCCTGCTCAATGACCCTACAGTAATCCACTCGATCTCCAAACTGTTGAATCGTCCTTCACTTCAGAGGAGTATTCTCGATTCCTTTCGCAACTAAGATGGGAATGCCCGACTCGCTCAGTTCTCTTGTCTGGCTCTGCGGGCCTATCACCGGTGAACCCCTCCCTATTCTCTTCTGTGTAGTGGGAAAATAGACACGTGGTGAAACACGTGTGTTGGTGACACTTGTGAAAATTCTGAAAAGAATGGGGAAATTCTGATTGTCTTCTGAGCACTTCTACCCGAATTTGTATGCAAACTTCTACAGGGTGGTGCGAAAAAAGGGCCCACCCCTCGTAATTTTGCGGCAAGTGACAGTTCGAGATCAGAGACAGTACCATCTGGAAGTCCTTATCGAGCTCTCTCCAACACTATAAGAACGGTTCTGATATTCGTATTATGCACTGAGGTATCGCATAATGCAAAATCGGCTACATAGGAAAAAGCCGTACCGGTTTTGACATGATATTTTTTTTGTTCACGAAAAAATTGCCGCAAAATTATGAGGGGTGAGGAAACTCCTGAGCTCAGGTGAGGAAAGTGAAGCTCTATTCCAACACTGGTCCTCAGGTATTGTAGTGCAGCCCATCGTGGGTCGATGGTCTGATAGTTACGTCGCTGGGAACCCCAGTCGCACTCGTTTGCCCTTCCTGATAGTCGGAGCAGCTCTACTGAGTGCATCTACAGTGGTGATAGGATATTCACTCGAGTTAGGAGAACTGCTAGGTGATCGAGGTAAGCTCTCATACTCTCGTTAATTTCAGTTATCATCAATCATAGAAGGCTGATGTTTTTTCGATCCTCGTGTCTAGAAACAGTAAGAGACACTTTAAGATGATCAGAAGACTATCGGTGACAAGACTTGTCGAATTCTGGGTGCATTTACATCAGTCGTGTTGTAGGTGCTTCTCATACCATCGGTCTGGTTATTTTCATATTGATATTCTGGGTTTACGATGCCGCCTCGAATATAGTGATGGTCGTCAGCCGATCGGCTCTCGTCGATCTAGCTCCTACACAATACGTTTCCACCGGTTTCTTTAGCCAAACCATCGTGTAAGCCTTAAACCATGCTCATATGCATATGTATCGGTGACAATATGAAAATTCCGAGAAAGCTTTGGGGAATTCTTGTTAGTCTCTGTACACTTTTATCATAATTCGTGTATAGACTTCCAAGAAACTGCGGAGCTCAGCTGAAGAGCAAACATCCATTCCGTCCACACTGACCATGTTACAGATAGTCATTGTTTTTTTCGTCTGCAGGAGCGAATTTGGAGGAATGTGTGGGAGCTATATTGCCTCCCAGGACTGGTCTGGGGTAACCGGAGTAAATCTAGGTTCTCAAGTGAGTGGTATGGGAAAATATGTACATGCTTTGCTAATGATGAGGAATTTCTGAGAAATTTTTGTACACTTCTATCCTTACTCGTTTGTCAATTTCTACGATACAGTAAGGAAACTGTTGAATTCAGCTTAGGGGATCAGAAAATATAGCGACATTGCAGCGGGAATCGGTTTCGATCAGATATGTCCACGACAATGCCAGGGAGAAATGTGCCCGGTGGGATTCGTACCGGGGTGCTACGCTCTACGATTCTCCGTCCTTATCGACGCCGCCATTATTCTCCTCACGGCAGCTATTTCCTCCTGTGCTATGACAATAGGCAAATCACGGTCCACCAGAACTTATAATGCAGTGCCTTGTACGACTCAGGCAAGTCCACTTTCAATAAGATAAATCGCAATGATCATTTCAGGATGCCGCAACGAGTCGTCGCTGTCACACCTTGCTTGAGTTCTATCGCCAGATCCGATCTACTCCAACAGCCTACCATACAGTCCTCCTAGCCATGATGTTCTCGTGGATCGGATGGTTTACTGCTATAATCTACCGCTCGCACTTCATAGCTGTTGAGGTAGGCAGCTTTAGGGAGAGCCCCTCTCCTAGATCGTGCTCCTGTGTTTTTTTGATAGCACGTGTTGGGAGTAGTAAAGCATTGTGTTCTTCCACCTAGTGTGAGATCTTAGAATTTTCACTTACTAGGGCTTCGTGACGAAGGGGCGGAGCTCGCGTAGTCCGCGTCTATCGATTTAATCAATAGACGCACCAAGCTCTACCGTGGGTGATGCCCCGGTTCGACCCCCGGGTTGGACATTTTTTCGTCGAAAAAGATTCTTGAGCATATGTCTTTGAGCTGTTCGCATAATCGAGTTTTACGATTTTCGCGGAGACCTCGAAGAACCATGGAGAAGTCGGTTGATTCATCTGGTGCCCTTCTACGATTGGTGGTTGAGCCAGATCGTTCTGCACGCATGCGCAACGCGAGAATGCCTGCTGTTGCGGTATGGTGGCCTCAGGAGTGTGGGAAAATAAGCACATGGTCAAGTACATGTGTTGGCAACAATATGAAAATTCTGGGAGGAAATTCTTATTGGTTTCTGCACACTACCTGAATTCGTATGTACACTGATGCCTACAACACTGAGTGTTCCTCTGGAAAGCGAACATAATATGCTTGCTTTCTCCAGCAAAGCTTACGAGTTCGTAAATGTTTCAAAAATTGGAAAGAATGATCCCAAATCTTCCAGAAATTTCCGCAAATTGGGATTTCTTAAAATGCATGTTCAATATCTACTCCAATACGGGGCCTCAGTATCTCACTGCCATTCCTCATAGGTCCTCCCAAATCCTCTCAACGATGATCAAATCTATGAACTGAATCTACAGACCGCAGCTCGCGGTATGTTCTACGGCTCCATCTTGTCAGTGTCAACTTCAGCGATCTTCTCCGCCCTAGGAGTAATAGCAACCACGGCCAGTCTTCTTATATCCACAAAACTCCTATCAGCTCCGCTACTCTGATGCATTAAATCCCCGTTTGTGGCTTATCTGGGGTGCCGCACTCACCGGCCTAGGGGCCATTCTGATCCTGTCCATGTTCTTCGCCGTTGGCCTTTTCCCTGGAACAACAGGTGGCGTTCAAGCTTGGTTGGCTGTGGTCGGCCCCATGTAGGTGAACTCCCCTTCTATAATTCATCCCATTACTCTCACTTCAGAGGGGCTCTCTCAATGTCGATTCCCTTTGCTCTCACTGGTCGGATCTCAAGACGGCTTGTCGACAGTACGGCAACAGCAGGTTTAAAGTCAGGCCTCTATATGGGCGCCCTGAACATCGCGATGTGTTTGCCGCAAATACTGGTTTCATTAGTAAGCCTCACCTCCCCTTCTTGATACCCAGTACTCCCCAATCTCAGCTCGGTAGTCCACTGAATTCTATCGCTCACAGCGACTCCGTGTCGCTGACTATTGGTGGGCTGAGCTCCCTGGTAGCAGCAGGTCTACTTCTGAGGAGGAAGTACTGGTGAGTCGATTATTAGCGGTTCATTTCTTTACAACCAGCAGTCCTGTCCGTCCTCAGGTACGATTCTGATGTTTCTGTCGAGCCGGGCCATTCGGTCCCTTCTCATAGCGATTGACCCTCACCCCCCGAATGTTGTTTAGATCGGCTGAAGAAATCCGATAGGGATCAAATATCAGATTTCTTCTGTCGACGATTTCACAACCACAGAAGCTGATGTCCTCTTATGAGACTGTTTGATGTACCTACTAATTTATATTTCAACTTTAACAGTTTCACATTCGTGAATAATGCAGAGTTGAAGAGTTGCGCTCCAATTCATAAGTAAACGTTCATGACGGTGTAGAAAAGGAAGGGGGAAGACGATTGACAGAACCAACCAACATTGTTACCGTAGATCCAGCGAATTCTTCGATCGAAACTTTATTAAACCTATCCCCTCTTATCCGTCAGTCAAAGCATGTGACGTAGATACGTAGATACGCGTTTGTGACCAAAACTAGGCTCACTGAGAGAAGTGATAGCGGGTACCAATCAAGATGTTAAGCATGGTGACTTGATTGTTCTTGATTGATCGGTGTTTCGATCGCCACTTGAGAGATAGGTTGAAATCAGTTGGAGGATTGAAGCCAATAAAAGCTGCGTCTTTACATTGTGAAGTTTACAAGCTATACGAGAAAAGTTGTGATAGTTGTGACTGTCGTACAACCATACCTTCTAGAAATCTATTCCACGGTTAAGGTTACCAATTCAGCGAAAATGGAATCACTTTCGAAACTTTGCAGAAACCAAGTGGATATTGCTATGAATGTATCTCGTACTGATCCTCCTGTTGATTGCTTTGCAACCCATTTGGTATCTATCACGTCATGTTGAGCGAGTCTGTTCCGACCTGGCTACTCTTGAGATGTAGTGAGTCCGATCCGTGATGACGGTTCGCGATTGGACGCCGGGCTAACTCAACAGTTGATCAGGGTGATGATCTAACTCATTACAAGTCAGCAAGTAGCCCAAACATTACTAAGCTAGGCTATGATACAATGACCACAGACATACTATGTGTGCTACACCACTCATCCCACACTATGTGTCTCCCCCTGCTCAACCCCCTCGGGGATGTGGAACAAGCGAATACATGCGAGATGGTACCACGGTGATAAACGAAGAGGACCATCATTCTTGGGGGAGGTTCTTCAACTGAGAGGTGCTTGTTGATCTCGAGCCGAGGATTGTGATACTGTTGAAGTAGCCGTACGCAGCACACTGGTTTGACTGATGGCTACCGTGAATGACACTTGTTTCGTGTGTTATGGAATACACAGAGTGATCGAGAAAGAAGGACCCCTTCCCCGTAAGTCCTCAACGCATGCGAAAATCAGATGCATTCTGCCACTATTTTGAAGTATTTGGCGAACTCTCTCCAGTGCTGGAGCCGATTAAAGTGCTAAGGCGTTCCGAGTTCCGAGTCCGAGTACTCGGGTACCGAGTTCCGAGTCTCGGAAATCCCATCCCGAGAGTCCACGGATTAAAGTGCGACCCCTCGGAAAAGTCGATTTTCCGAGGGCTTCTTCCGAGAACTCGGACCGAGTCACTTTCCACGAATTAAAGTGCTCAACGGCATTACGAGCTCGGTCTCGGAAAAAACACATAACTCGGAAATATTCGAGCTTAGATACATAGTAATCTCGCAACCAGACTGAACGTTTGATTCGAACACTTCTCTGCATTTATTAATTGATTTAACGTGATGCGTTGAAGAGAAGAATCGCGTGATCAACGAACACGTGATATCACCACAACACAGTCGAGTTTGCGAGTGCCTCGAAAGATACTCACAGGCGCAAGCCTCTTTTCGGAGGGGATACAATACGACATCATAGCCTTGCAAATTAATGCTCCTGCCTTCACAAGCGCACATAACGAACTACCTGCGAAAAGTTAGTTGAAGCGGGATACAAAGCATTGAGTTGCGTTAACAACAAAATGTTTGTATCGGTAAGAAGACCGACAGAGGAGTGAGCTTGTCTTCGGCGAGGCTCTGGGTCAGTTTGTTCTCGATGACAATAGCCATCCCTGAGCCAACAATGTTATTGGCAATAGCTTATTGCATGTTGCTTGTATGTGTTTGAGCTGTTTTGTGGCTGAGTTTCTGCTATCTTGGCGCACAGTTGCGCTTTTCCGAGCTCGAGTCCGGATTTCCGGGAGTCCAAAGACCCTGAAAACTTTTCGAACTTGGAACTCGGAAATCAGAGCACTTGAATCGAAAATCAGAAAATCGCTTTCCTCGGAACCGAGTAACACGGATTCCGAGCTCGGAAAAAAGCTCGGAATTTCGAACGCACTTTAATTCATAGTTTTTATCCGAGCTCGGAAAAGCCGCTTTTCCGAGAACTTGGACTCGGAAATCAGAGCACTTTAATCGGCTCCTGGTCAACCTCCATACTCTCAACACTCGCTGAGTTATAACGGGACGAAGAAGGCCGTATATAGAGAGGGGGGCAAATTCCATTCCATAGTATTTGCGTCGATCCATGGTCCAACTTTCTGCAGTTCGCATAGGTGGCATAGGCGCCCCAATCAGGTTTACCGTTCCAATGCCAAATGATGAAATATCGCTGCATATCGCTAAGTTGAACGCAAAATGGCATAGGCGCCCCAATCAGGTTTACCGTTCCAATGCCAAATGATGAAATATCGTTGCGTATCGCCAAAATGAACGCACGATGGCATAGGCGCCCCAACCAAGTTTACCGTTCCAATGCCAAATGATGAAATATCGTTGCATATCGCCAAGTTGAACGCACGATGGCATAGGCGCCCCAACCAAGTTTACCGTTCCAATGCCAAATGATGAAATATCGTTGCATATTGCTAAGTTGAACGCACGATGGCATAGGCGCCCCAACCAAGTTTACCGTTCCAATGCCAAATAATGAAATATCGTTGCATATCGCCAAGTTGAACGCACGATGGCATAGGCGCCCTGACCAGGTTTACCGTTCCAATGCCAAATGATGAAATATCGTTGCATATCGCCAAGTTGAACGCACGATGGCATAGGCGCCCCAATCAGGTTTACCGTTCCAATGCCGAATGATGAAATATCGTTGCATATCGCCGAGTTGAACGCACGATGGCATAGGCGCCCCAACCAAGTTTACCGTTCCAATGCCAAATGATGAAATATCGTTGCATATTGCTAAGTTGGACCATCGATAGACCACGGAAACACTGCAGAAATGAAATCTGCCAGCACATTTTCCTATATACGGCTTTCTCCATATGGTCATAGCTTGTCGAGTATGGAGAGTATGCAATTGAGTCAACTTCCATCGAAGAGAGCTCATCGAGATCTTCGAATCTTCCCATCAGGGAGCTTGGTACCTGAGCCTTCCTGATATTTACGTACGCTGAGAAATTTCGAGGGGCGCCTTTTTTCGATCACACTCTACGTTCACTTCTTTCAGGAGTTTGCTCATTAATTATGGGAGTTCACACACGAGTTATGGTAGAAGCGTACAGAACCCAACGAGGATTGCCCAAAATTGCCCAGAGTTTTCATATTGTCAGCGGCACGTGTAGTTGACCATGTGCATGTTTCCCACACTGGTTTCGAGAGGTTGTACGGCACAATCTCTGTGATATCTCATATCTCCATGGTTTCTCCCACGGCCTCTGCATGTGCCCTTCCTTAATGTCAGGTAGGAAAGACCGTGGCCCAGGATTATAGGAGTATTGCACGCTCGGCAGCGTGAACTTTATCGGACCATCGGGGAGCCAGGTGTGCGACTGTCGTCTATTGCGAGCGTCGTGTCCTGTGAGGTAAATAGATTCGCAATAGAACCATATCTGCGATTGAGGCCACTCGCCATGAGGTGTCATCGTGGCAACGATATCAGGGCGAACGCTGGG